CGGAGCCTGTTACCCCATATCCGCCGTCCCCACCATCGCCACCATCTACGCCGTCGACGCCACCATCACCGTGGATGCCGTCCGTGTACGGACCACCCGGGGTTCTGTATCCTGTCGACCCCGGGTATCGCCCATCGGCGGCTTGCCGGGGCTGGGTGGAGACGTGGGCGGTTCTTGTTGCCGGAGGAGGAGTGCTTGTGTTGATGTTGTGGTTATGATGAGGATGTGACTCATGTGTTGAGTAAGGTTTACTACTGTGTTGATGTGTTTAATTGTTGATGTCGATGTTATTAGGTGTATACTATGTGTAATAAGTGTTGCTTACAGAATGGAATAATTGGAATAATTGAGGGTTTATTTTTTGTACGCATATTGATCTGTGTATGGTTAATTAGATCAAAATTTATATCTATGACATCTCTCTTTTGTGTTCCTTTATTGTGTAGGACTACAAGTGTCCCTTTTGTTGACGATTAATTGGATAGAAGGATATATTCAATAATTCTTTGACAGATTATATTCAAGTTTTCAAACTTTTCACTTGGCATAACACTCGTTTATGCCCTCTTCTTTTGTTCACATAAAGAGAGAACATAACTTAATAATAGTTTGATCCGTAATTTATTTGTGTTGTGTACACTTAAAGTGCTCTGCAGAATAAAAGCAAAGTTTTCCAAAAGATTCTCAGGGAATTATTTCTGTCAAAGGAATAAGTAAACATTTGTATTTCTATTTAAAAATAATGGACTCCTGTAGTAACTGCAACCTCTATAGTCTATAGTGTATCACGTTCAGATAGCAACCAATCATTGAAAAAAAAAGAATTTACAAATAAATACAATATAGAAAGATTGTAAATCTGCATACTAATTAATCAATAGAATTCTCTTGTCAAAATTTGTTTCAGTGTGTCCTGTTCAGACTCATAACAAAATGTAATAAAAAAATAGGATTTATGTAGCTGACCCTAATTAAACATTTAGGATAAAGATTTTGTTGTTGTTGTTGTTCCCTATTCTATCGTTCACATAGAGAAGAGAATGAAAAGGTTGACCTACATGTAGTACTGTATAGTGTATACACCGGATGAGCTGTGGAGAATAAAGCGAAGATTTCCAAAACCTTTTTAGGGCATTTTCCCCCCTTACTAATTGAAATGTTTCACTTTATATCTTTATAATAAAAGTTGGCTCCTGCAATAAATGGAGCCTGTCTTTCTGACCTTGTCATAAGATAACCATTGAGAAGATGACATGTTGAAATCCGTTAACCAAACTCATGACTTAATTATTTTTTCCAACCTACTTTACTATTTTAAGACATCTTTCAAGACTTAAAAGTCTCCTCCATTGGACTTGAACTTAGGTAAAGAATTGAGTAATAAGATTTTATATAATATGATCTGCAAGCTGATCGAACTTCTTTTTTATGGATAAAACACTGGACTATTTCAAACAATATTGATATTTTTTTTTTAAATTTTGCTTAAGTATGTGTCCAATGAGATTGGGTTCTTAATCACCTTGAGGTTATCTTGATAACATCAAAGTTAAAAATTGTGATGAGAGTTGAAAATTATAATTTTGTACTTTAACAAAAAAAATAAGGATGTTCCTTATGCCAAACAATCCAAATTATGGCAACAATTATTGCCTAATTTTTTTTTTAAAATAGTAAAATGATTTCATGTCATTTGAGGTTTCAGCCTAGAAACCTTTGAACATAAAAAGAGGTACCAACAACTAGCCTATGGCTTTGGAGGAATCTAGTAAATAATGAGGTTAGGAAAATAGAGTGTTGGAGGTTGACTAGAGGATCAAATTTGGACTTTGCTTTATGTATACTTTTCTTTGAATATCTTCATATTTTTAAAAGCACTCACTCATTCCATGTGCAATTGCCTCAACACCATTTTCTCATGGGATAAAATTTGCATGTCAAATCTGAGTTATGTTACTAATTATTTACAATAATAATAATAATAACCCCAAGAAGGAACTTGATGAGAATTGTGTCAGAGCCATAGAAAATGATTAGGTGAAAACTGAACTGGATGTATGTGTAGATTAACATCAGGGAAATATTGGAGTTGCAAGTATTTAGCGAGCGCCATAGAAAAAGTTTGGACAGATGCAGATGTACTTGTAAATGAAAACAAATTAAAATATACTTCTAATTAATTGTTTAATGAAAATTTGATTTTAAAAGGTTTTTACGAAAAAGGAGTTCGGTGGAAGCCAAAAGCATTTTGTCTTCATGAAGCACCCATACGTGCTTTGAGATTTTACTTTCCGTTCATTACAAGCAAATATACAGTCTTTGTTTACTTTTTTATTTATCCATATATACTATGTATATGTAAGAGAAGCTCCCCCATGATTGGTAAGTCACATTTTCAGAATACCAACAATGAAAATACTATGAAAAAGTCATCACACTTTGAAAATAGAAAGGTAAAAACGATTTCTGCCTTGAGAAAAACCCGTGAAAAGATATGATCACACTTAGAAAAATTCAAAAAAAAAAAAAAAACTCAACCATTCATTCACTTAAAACGTGTTTGGTTACACTTTCGATTTCAGGAAAGCTTTTCCTGAAACCTTAGCACACGTCAAGTATAAGAAAATCCCAATTCTGAGCTTTGGGAGCGGAAATGAGGTGGAAATTTGAAAAAAAAAACAATAAATTATTGGGGCACATTATTTTTGGGCTTCTCGAGGAAATAAATTGACTTTCTTAAAGCGGTGGTTCTCTATTCTTTTGGTTCCCTCCAAACTCAAGATTGAGAAACACCACTTTCCGTGTTTGATTTCAGAAATGTGTGAAATTGTACTTTTTGAGATTTCTTGGTTTTCATTTCTATTTTTTGGTTTTTTAGAAAATAACCAAACAGGCCCTAAAAATTGTTGGGTAACTCAGAAATGACATTTCCACATGGTTGGTTCCCTCCAGACTCAAGATTGAGAAACACTAATTTCCATGTTTGATTTTAGAAATCCTCTTACCAATTGTTGGATAACTCAGAAATGGCATTTTCCCATAGAAATGAATCAAACAGGCCTTAACAATTCGACCAGAGCACTCTTTTACGTTTCGTTGACAATTTGACTATAGCACTTCCTTATGTTCGGTTAGGGTGTACATAGAAGACCATCAACAACTTTATTAACTCATTTTTATGTAGAAAAATTGTGTCAATGCCCCAAATTTTAAAAGTCAAAGTGCCCCAACCCCTCATACTTTTTATAATATGCTGTAACCCCTAAAATTTAAAAAAAATGTGCCCAAGCCCCTCTAGCTCATGATTAGCCAATATTCCACCTAAAATTTTAATTTTACTCTTCTCTTTCTCCTTTTCCTTCTCCTTCATCATCCTCCTTCCTCCTTCCTCCCAAACGATCCTCCATCGGCGATCCTCTTCCACCAGTGAAACTCCACCAGCGATCCTCTTCCACCAGTGAAACTCCACCAGTGATCCTCTTCCACCGGCGATCATCTTCCTCGTCTCCGTCTCCTTCTCCTTCCTCATCCTCTTCTCCTTCTCCTTTCTCATTCTCTCCTCCCTCATCCTCCTTCCTACTTCCTCCCCGGTGATCCCTCAGTTTGTCGCTGATTATGCATAGGCTCCACCGAAATCGACTCAATCTCTCCTTCACCGGCGATCCTCCAGTTCCCCAGCCTTTCTCATTCTCTCCTTTCTCATTCTCTCCTCTCTCATCCTCTTTCCTCGTCTCCTTTCTCATTCTCTCCTTTCTCAATCCCATCACTCAATCCCAAATCTGACTCCCTCCAATCTCTACTATACTGGAGTTTTCCCCTAGCTCCTCGCCCGAAGAAATTTATAGAAAATTCATTTTGTCTTCAAGCCCCATGGAAAAGGACTGTGTGATTATGCTTTGTTCATTGGTGTTTGCGGTGAAAATTGATTTCATAATTTGGAAACTCATTACAATCGTTTATCGACCTACAACAAGTTTAAAAGAGTGAGCTATTTTATAAGACTTCTCTTACACAAATAAAATAAAAAAAGATTACAACTCTCTCTTAAAACAAACGAAGAGGACGCTTATCACCCGCTGCTTGCGTGGGATCTTTACTTGTGTCGGGGACGCGTTAGTCAGTGTACCATCGCGCATCAGATCCGGTTGACTCGTTAGGCTATGGCCGAGAGACTGTGGGTGTCTGCAGACCTAAAAACGCTGTTTTGAGCCGTTTTTAATCGTTAATCACCTGGACTTGTTCCAACTGATCTAATGTTATCCTAGAACGTGATAAAGTAGTTATAACTAAGGATAAGAGTGAATCTGCTATTCTTATTCGAAAACAGAGCTCCTGAAGCCTATAAATATAACCCTAGGGCCTTCATTTAATTAGGGCTGGAATTTTTGAGCATTGGCGAAGCCCTGCTGAATTAGAAACTGAAGAGCCATGAATTTCAGAGAGGATGAGGAGATCTCAGTGAATTCTTCGGCATAAAGAAGGAGAGTTTGATAGATCTGCAGCCTAGTTCTTCCCTTGAGATCGGACCATTGTTGTGATCTCGAGAAGAGTGGTTATCTCATTGTTGCTGAGATAATTACTTCGGTTTCTCGACTCCTTCGCGAGTCAACGAAATCTGCATTTTGATCTGATCTGAGATGGTCCACAGATAAACCCTGGCACATGCAAAGATCCACGCAAACAGCGGGTGATAAACGTCTGTTGTGTTTATTTTGATGAGAATTGTAATTTTTTGTTTTTATTGTGTAAGAGTCTTATAAAAATACTATCTTTTTGTTTTCATTATAACGACTAAATTTGTAATGAATACATCAATGAAGAAATCAATTTTTTACCAAAACAGTTGATGGTGACTTCTGCGAGTTCATCATCTTGAACGACAGATTTCTTCTTGTAGAAGCATCTTGGTTTGGGTTTTGACGCTTTAGTGGAAAGCCTTTCGAATATAGAGACCCTTCGTGGAGAGGTCTTGGGTAGTTACACGCTGATAATACTATCCTGATAAGTTTGACACATGGATAATGAAAGTCTGTCTCCCGGGTATCTCTCTTTTGAGATTTATTCGTACCACCAGTCCGATAGTACAACTCATCGGCATGATTACCAGAGTAAGCTATCGTGTATTGGCACAACTTCCCAGGTATAACATTGCTGTCATCATACGAACACTTTTCCTTCTGAGGTTTTAATGCTTTATTAGCGTTCTCAAGAGTCGGACATTTAGAGCCATGTTTCGTGAGCGTGGGGCCTCAACGGGCTCTTGGATAGTGACTCACAATCCGAGGTGGCTGGTTATAGGAGTTTTCCCATTATGAGAAGGCTCTGACTTATTGCGAAGGCATGTGCAACCCCTAGCTTGGCGAGTTGCGCGGGGTTCATTCACCGGACCCAAGCGTTGTTTAACTTGAGCCTTACCTCGATCCTCGCGTAAAGGGCCAAGATGGTTGCCATCATTATTTTGGATCGGGAGGGATCCACACTGTCATGAGGCTTCACCGGAGGTACGGGAGAAACCGAATCAGGAACGGAGGTTGACGGATGCAGAGAAGCAGTTGTGGAGCTGGTTCCTTGGGCAGGATAGCCTTTCTTATCTCTGTCGGGTGCGAGACAGCTTTGGCTGTCTCGTCCAGGTGCGAGACAACTTAGGCTGTCTCGGCCACATGAATTTCCTGCCATCTCCCGAATTAATTTTCGCACAGTTTCGGACTTTGGAATCCAAATTTTGTGGGGTTTTGATGGTTCCTTGACCATGTCTTCCTTCTGCAACTTACGCATTTCCTACACAAGGTTTCGTGTGTGTGCAAGCAGCGCGCGGCGTTTCTGGATTCGCTCCTCAAGAGTTGAATGAGTCCTTTTGACTTGGATCTATTCATTCGTTGTTGGTTGGGAGGAGGAGCTATTTGTTCACTATTGGGGCACTTGGCGCCTTCTAAGTTTCGGATTCGCCTCATAGCAGATCTCGTCAACAGGCTCCAAAACCTTAGCGAATTGGCGTGCGAGGCGTTGACGCTGCCTTTGTCGGGCTCTCTTTGACAGAATTAGCGCTCCTTCAGTACTCAACTCCTTGATTGAGGAGGAGTTTAGATTTGCAGATCCGGTTTTATTAGACGTCGGAGGGGCGTTGTGAGATGCAGCTGCAGCAGCAACGGGGGCGTTGATCTTCCTGCGCTTGCGAAGGTAGAAGGATCTGAAGGAGGAGGACGACAAATACTCCTCGAACTTAGCCTGGTTGAACTCATACCCGACCCTTCGTCAACCGGGACCCGGATCCGTGGTTGCGGCACGACAGCTTCGGCGGAGAAGCTGTTGGCTCCTACTGTGATCACCAGTTTATTTTCGGTGAATGTTGATTTTATTATTTTGGAACTCATTACAATCATTTATCGACTTACAACAAGTTCAAAAGAGTGAGCCTTTTTATAAGACTTCTCTTACACAAATAAAATAAAAAAAGATTACAACTCTCTCTTAAAATAAACGCAGAGAACGTTTATCACCCGCTGCTTGCGTAGGATCTTTGCCTGTGCCGGGGACGCATTAGTCCGTGGAGAGAATGTTTATCACCAGCTGTTTGCCTATGATCTTTGCCTGTGCCGAGGACGCGTTAGTCCGTGGACCGTCACGGATCAGATCCGATTGACAGAGTGATTATTAAAAGCTCTTACTTCACAAATGAAGTAATCATAGAAGTGATAATCTTGACCAAGCGAGATTATGACTCTTCTCGAGATCAAAATAAGATTTGATCCGGATGAAATATGAAACGAGCCTCAGATCTCTCGAATAACTCCTTCTTTATGTTAAAGTTTGCTAAGATCTGCTAACCCTTCTCTGAAATTCGTGCTCCACTCTTTAGTTTGACAGCTCCTCGCCCTCTGATTTCAGATCCTTACAAATGAAGGTCTTAGGCTTGTATTTTATAGGCTTTTGTTGTAGCGTTTTCTGATAAGAATTGATTATTTAAGCTCATCCGCAGTTAATAACCATTTAACCACGTTTAGGGATAGCTTCAAAGTAGTTGGGGGGCTCTGGAAAGAAAGAATCCTAAAAAACTATTGAAAAACGCGTTTTGGGAGTTTCTGGGCGGGAGCCACCTCGTGGCGTGAGGCCACCATTTGGTGGCTCGCGACCATTGCGCAGCCACAATGGTGGCTCGCACCCATACAAGCCAAGCCACTGGTTTTGGTCCTTGTCATTTTTACGTAATTCGCCCGCTAGAGACTTTTATGGTTCGTTAGGTTTAGACTTGTTTTGTCGTTACGCGCATTTTATCATTTCGTTGACTTGTCTGCTTCACTGATTCGCTTTATGCGTTTCGTTAGCTTATAGGCGGCTGACGAGTGTGCGGGCCACTTGGAGTTGGCTGATGAGCGTGCGGATCATTTGGAGCTGGCTGATGAGCGTGCAGACTCGTTACAATGTCATTAGTGGTTCGCCAATTCGCTCCATGCGTTTGTCAGCGTCAGATAATCTCATTTGACTCGGATAATGACGTTAATCGTCTTCTCTCCGTCTCGAGCTGTATTCAGACATCTATATGTATTTTTAGACGCCTACAATTGGAAGCAACTAGTCTGTGTATATCTAGCCGAGATGTTGAGTGAATTGGTTTTTATTTAAAATTTTATTATACATAGACCATTTTTGTTGGCTTAAAAATTATATGTAGTTTGTACATGATGCGTTGATAATTGAGAAATAAAAGCCTACATACAAAAATGCTCATTTTAAATAACGGATGTATAAATATGACGCTCATGTGTGAACGTTCTCATTTAACATGTTAACTATAATACGTAGCATGTTAACCTTAATTGATAAAAATTAATAACTATATTCAGTAAACTGTTAACTATAATCCATTATATGTTAACTGTTATTTGTAATCTGTTAACTAACACACTTATCTTATTAACTATTATTCATTATCTGTTAACTATTATTTATAAACTATTAACTATAATCAATTATCCGGTAACTGTTATTTATAATCTGTTAGCTATAATCAATTATCTGTTAACTATTATTTAATTGATTACAAATAATAGTTAACAAATAAAATTTTAAATAAAAACCAATTCACTCAACATCTCGGCTAGATACACACGTAGACTGATTGCTTCCAATGAACAAAGTATAATCACACAATCCTTTTCCATGAGGCTTGAAGATTGAACGATTTTTTCATAAATTTCTTCGGGCGAGGAGGTAGGGGGAAACTCCAGTATAGCGGAGATTGGAGGGAGTCAGATTTAGGATTGAGTCATGGGATTAAGAAAGGAGAGAATGAGAAAGGAGACAATGAAGTAGGATGAGGGAGGAGAGAATGAGGAATGAGAGAATGAGAAAGGAGGAAGGAGGATCATCGGGGAACTGGAGGATCGATGGGGAGGAGAGATTTGAGTCGGTTTTCGGTGGAGCCCATGCAAAGTCGGCGACAGACTAGGGGATTGCCGGGGAGGAAGGAGGATGAGGGAGGAGAGAATGAGAAAGGAGAAGGAGAATAGGATGAGGAAGAGGAACACCGGTGGAGGATCACCGATGGAAGAGGACCGCCATTAAAGGATCGCCGGTGAAAGAGGATCGCCGGAGAGGGAGGAGGAAGGATGATGAGGAAGGAGAAGGAGATGGAGAAAGAGAAGAGGGGTAAATTGGAATTTTAGATGGAATATTAGCTAATCATGAGTTGGAGATTTGGGCTGTTGATACAACTTTTTCTATTTATCTCAATAAATAAATGATGAAATAAATATTTAGAAATTTG